CTGTGGAAGGCAGGGGCAGGGCATAGGCTGAAAAAGAAAGATCGTCCTACAACAGTTCACTAGGCTCTTGGACTCCTGGGTTCCTTCTCCATCTCATTCAGCCAGCCTGCACTCATGTTCTCCACCCTAACACTACCACCATCAGTGAAATCCCTCTATGAGGTTATAAGTTTCTTCTCAGGAGAAAGGAGTTTATCCTTGGTGAAGAGTTCCCATAAACAAAATGTCTAACCAGAGAATGGGAAGGAGCCCTTGGAAATGAAAAATGTGTTTGAAATAGAAACTTTAGTAGTGGAGGATCAGGTTAAGGAATTATTTTGGTCAAAGATGTCTCAATCTTGGCACAATTGCCATCTGGGCTGGAAATCCTTTGTGTGAAAGGTTGCTCTATGCACTGTATGCTGGTTTGCAGCATCCATGGCTTCTACTCACTAGATGCCAGAGCAACCCCCTCTTTCCTGTGGTGGCAACTAAAAATATTTCCAGACATTGTCACATGTCTCCTGGGGCAGGGGAATATCCAAAGGGCAGAACCCTCTCCCCCTTCTGCCCCATTTGAGAACCCCTGTCTCAGAAAACAGGCAAGAAAGATTCAGAGATGATCAATGGGATAAAAGGACAATAAATTTAGAGAATAATATAGATGTTCCAATAACCTACTAAGAAGAATTCACAAAAAGAATAGAGAAAATGGAAGGAAGGAAAATAGCAAATAAATGAAAGAAAAAAATTGCTAGTGAGATTAAAAAGACCCCTTGGAATCCAGCACAATCACTGAAAAAAGACCCATTGTAAAGTACATCAATATGACATTTGAGACTACTAGGGAAAATGGGAGATTCTAGAAAGAAATACAGATCAGATACAGAGGAGTGGGAACTAGAACGGCATTAGACATTTCAATGGCAGCACTGGAAAAATGCTTTCAAAACGCTGAGGGAAAATGATTTTCAATCCATCTAAATTATCAGTCAGGAATAAGAATAGAATGAATACATTTTCAGACATGCAAGTACTCCGACAATTTACCCTCTGTGTACCTCTTGTGAGTAAGCTACTGGAATCTGCGCTCCAGCAAAATAAAAGAGTAAACTGAAAGTTGTGGCCGGGGGCAGTGCCTCACACCCATAATCCCAACACTTTGGGAGGCCCAGGCGGGTGGATCACCTGAGGTCCGGAGTTCGATACCAGCCTGACCGACATGGAGAAACCCTGTCCCTATTAAAAATACAGAATTAGCCAAGCGTGGTGGCACATGCTTGTAATCGCAGCTACTCAGGAGGCTGAGGCAGGAGAATTGCCTGTGAGGTGGAGGTTGTGGTGAGCCCAGAGAATTGCTTGAACCTGGGAGGCGAGGTGGAGTTGCGGTGAGCCGAGATCACGTCATTGCACTCCAGCCTGGGCAATAAGAGCAAAACTCTGTCTCAAAAAAAAAAAAAAGTTGTGTGTTTGGGCACTGGAAGATATTATTGATGGGCATTTGATAGATATGTTGAAGGATTTTTTTTTTTTTTTTTGAGACTGAGTTTTGCTTTGTCACCCAGGCTAGAGTGCACTGGTGTGATCTTGGCTCACTGCAACCTCCACCTCCTGTTCAAGCGATTCTCCTGCCTCAGCCTCCTGAGTAGCTGGGATTACAGGCACATGCCTGGCTAATTTTTGTTTGTTTGTTTGTTTTTTGAGACGGAGTTTCGCTCTTGTTACCCAGGCTGGAGTGCAATGGCGTGATCTTGGCTCACCGCAACCTCCGCCTCCTGGGTTCAGGCAATTCTCCTGCCTCAGCCTCCTGAGTAGCTGGGATTACAGGCACGCACCACCGCGCCCAGCCAAATTTTTGTATTTTTAGTAGAGATGGGGTTTCACCATGTTGGTCAGCCTGGTCTCAAACTCCTGACATCGTGATCTGCCCATCTTGGCTTCCCAAAGTGCTGGGATTACAGGCATGAGCCATCTTACCCAGCTGTGAAGCATTTGTATCTAAAATTCAGGTTAGATACTTGTGTGTGTATGTATGTATGTATGTATGTATGTATGTATAGATGTAGTCTTACTAGGTTGCACAGGCTGGTCTTAAACTCCTGACCTCAAGCAATCCTCCTGACTTGGCCTCTCAAAGTGTTGGGAATACAGTTGTGAGCCACTGCAGTCCAACCTTAGCTACATTTTTAAAAAGTAAAAAAGCAGGCAATTATTAACTCCAGGAAGAACATTAGATTTAAAAAAAAGTGTTATCATGGCATATTATTTGATTCAGTAATGCATTATATTTACATTGGCAGGATGATATAAACCCTAATTTTTTTTTTTTGAGACGGAGTCTTGCTCTGTCGCCCAGGCTGGAGAGCAGTGGTGTGATCTCGGCTCACTGCAACCTCCTCCTCCTGGATTCAAGCAATTCTTCTGTCTCAGCCTCCCATGTAGCTGGGATTATAGGTGTGCCCCACTACACCTGACTAATTTTTGTATTTTTAGTAGAGACCTGGTTTCACCATGTTGGCCAGACTGGTCTCAAACTCCTGACCTCAGGAGATCTGCCCACCTCGGCCTCCCAAAGTGCTGGGATTATAGGCATGAGCCACTGTACCTGCCCCTAGTTGTTGATTTGAGTGAACATTGTAATATGGTTATGTTGGAAGGAAGCATGAGGGCAAAGTTGTCGCGGTGGTGGGTAAAAGACCTAAATCCTCAAATACCATAAGATGTCAATAAATAACATGTAATACTGAAAATCAAGAAATATCAATATAAGGTTATCATTTAGGAGATGAAGGACCTGGTAGGATTGTGTGGAATGTAGGGTGAAGATAGGTGGGGAGAAGCAGAGCAGGGGGCTGATGCTACTCATTGATGTTTTTTGTTATAAGCCTTTAAGAATCATTTGATTTTCACTTATGTGTATTACTTTCACTAAAAATAAAAATGCAAACAAAACAATACAAATACATTATAGAAAAAATACCACAGATAATAAAATATGCAAAAAGTGCATACAAAAATTAACAGAGCATCGTGGTGTTTATGTATTTTTTCCCATTTCAAGTGTAGATAAATGCTTATATTTCTCTCGTCTGTTTGCTTGAACTGTTTCAGTGAATAAAAATATGAAAAGTGCAATTCAGTCTTTATATATCCCATTTAAAATGCAGGAAAACTTTGTATGGTAAATACAGAATTTTGAGAATGTATTCTTGGAAAGGGAATACTGGTGAAACAATTAATAATAAAGATTTAAATGTTAATAATAAACTGAATTTTTTTTCCTTTTTTTATTTTTTAAAAGAGATGGAGTTGCACCCTGTTGGCCAGGCTGGTCTTGAACTCCTGACCTCAGGTGATCCACCCACCTCGGCCTCCTAAAGTGCTGGGATTACAGGCGTGAGCCACCTCACCTGGCCTGAACTGGATATTTTTATAGAGATTAAGCTATCCTAAAATTTTCAGGAAAAATATACATTAAATGTATATTTTTGACTCCTAAAGTCACTGAGTTTTAATTAGTTTAAAACTTTCAACATTCAATTACTATTTACTGAATTCCTCTCATAGCTCTCAAAAACAATCTTACAGATTTCCTGATGCATTTGTAGAGGCCTAACTTGAAGAAATATACTGGGAAATATAGTGTATTTCTGCAGGTTTACTTGGCCTTGGTTACTGCTCTTGATGTCAGAGAATTATGCATATCAAAGATAACGATGGTGCATTTATCAGGAAAGAACAGAGCTACTATCGGCCACTAGAGACAAGCATGGGAGAGTTTCTATAGGAGGTAGTGTTGATGCAGAGTCTTGAGATGACACTGTGAAATCTGTAGTTTCTGGGCTGACTCTACAGATGTTCCCATATACTCATCCTGCCCACGGAGAGTTATGAAACAGCTATGTGAATATCGTGAAGGAACTATGATGGGACAGAATGTGGTCAAAGAGCAGTGGTGCCGGGTAAGTCCTGAGAGTTTTGAGGAGGAAAAGGGGAACATGCACTTGGGGACCTGCAGGATCTTGCTCTCTGCTTGACTGCAGGGCATTTTCTGTCCCTCCCTGTTCTGTGGTATAGATTTTGTCTTTTCCATGTCAGTCCAGGTCTTCAGAATCACTATGAATTATTATTCCCATTTTATAGATGAAGAAATTGAGCCTCAGTGAGGTTCAGTTAGCGAAAGACACGCAACTTTAATAAACTGACAGAATTCCAGTTATGATTTAAATTCTATTGCTGCTCTCCTTTGAAAATAAACAGGGACAGCTTATATGAGCTTGTGTGTATTTTCTGGTCTAAATCTGCAGCACACATGTGTGTCTTTCTGTGCATGTATATAGTAGGTCAAATATGTTAGCTCTATTGATATTTCTTACATTTAAATATCCTGTTACCAATGAGAGTGTTTACAAATTATTTATTTAGAACTTACTTTTCAAGAAAAGGCTTTGTGATTGCTTTCTGCGGATTATGATAGACTGAATGTACCTCTTCATTATTTTGTTTCAAACAATTATATCTAGTTAATGTAGAAGCTTTTGAGGCTGTATATAACAGGTACCTTGGAATTCTCAGCCAGCGCCAAATATTCAAATCCAATTTCCACACCCCGACAGCAGAGGGGTTCCGGGTGTAGGTGGAGTGCTGGTGCACCCATGAGGGTGTTTTTCAGGAATTCCGGAGGTGGTGCTCTAGAGAACACGCTTCTTCCACACATGCCCCCTACCCAGTTTGGTAAGCACCTGCAGCCCCAAACAAGAACTGGCAGGACTCGAGTGTGGCCGTGTCAGACGTGGCAAGAAAAACCAGCAGTTGCCTTTTCATCTCTTTTCTGATGATCTAACCGTGAAGTCCACTTACGCAGTATTTGAGCTAAGGCAGAATGTAAATTCATAATCTAACAAGATTTTTGGTTACGTGGCTAGCCCAGGTACTGACCGCTGCGGGGGCGGGCTCGCACAGTTTCTCCACTGGCAAGTTTTGTGACTTGCTTTGGCAAACCCGGGAACTGCACCCTCTGCCCTTGGCAAGGTGTGAGCTTCCAGGATCTCTCCGCTGCGACTTCGGGTGTTAGCGTTTTCGGGCTCTTTCCGGAACCCAAGTTCCAGCACAGAAGGTCGGCCCCGCGGCCGGCCTCGGGGCCCCGCCCACTTTGGCCAGGGTCTGAGCCGCCCGGAGTGGGAGCCGGAGCCCGAGCGGCAGCGGCCCCTTTAAGGAGCCGCTCTGCGGTAACCCGAGCCCGCAGTCCAGGCGGGCGCGGCGGCCGCGGCGGTAGCTGGAGTCTCGGCGACTGCACCTCCAAGCGGCCCGGAGCCCGCGGCTTCCCTGGCTCCCGCCAGCATCTCGCAGGGCGGCACTGGCCGGCGCCAGCCCTCGGGCCGGGCCGGATGACCAGACGCCTGTAGCCACCCGCCGCCTCTCCCGGCTCCGCGCAGCCGCCGCCCGCGCGCCACTCGCCCCGGGACTCGGCACAGGTGACGCCGTTTGGAGGGGGGTTGGGGAGGAGGGCGGGCTCGCGTCGCTCCGCGGCTCCCCCGCGCCGGCCGCCGAGCGCAGCCCGCAGAGCAGGGCGCCGCGGCTTCCCGCCCCTGGCCTAGCGCGGGCGGCCGAGGGCTCCTACGCCGGGAGGCTGGGTGGGCGTCCGGCGCGCGGGAGGCGGCTCGGGGCTGCGGGGCGGGCTCCGGCAGGTGTGTGCGGCGGGCGCAGCATCGTCCCCGCCCGGCGGGCCACGGCGTAGCTCCGGGAGCAGATAGTGTCCCGGGGCCCGCAGCCCCCGCGCCGCTTGGGCGCCCTGCGTTCCTCTAGCGTTTCTCGGGCTGCACAGTTCGGGCTGCCCTGTCTGCCTGGCGGTGCCTCCCGGGTCTGAGCTTAAAGCGGTGGGTACAAACCTTTGGGCATCCAGGGAGAGCTTTCTTGTTAGAGCCCACACACAATTAGGCGCATCAAGTGGGTAAGTCCCCCTCCCCCGCCGCCACCTTCTGAAACAAGTAGCTCCTATTTACCCTTGCAGTTCTCAAGTGGGTCCCATTTTTAGCCACCGAGCCCTGCAAAGTCTGGTAGGAAGGGACCAGGCGGGGAGTCAGAGGGAAGGATTCGTTTCTATTTCCAGCTCCACCACTGTAACCCCTGGTAAGTTTATTAAACTAAGTGCCTCGGTTTACCCAGCCATGAAATGGGATTCGTAATGCCAGCATTTTCCTACCCCTCCAAGACGGTAGGAAAACCTTTGTGACAACACTTTGAGTCTAAGTTCATTTACAAGATATTGTTGCTGGTCTGTATGTTTTTAATTGTATACACACTCGGGTGTTAATGTGGTGCACACCTTTATATGAAATTGACCTTAAAGACTAATCTTGGATAATGTTTAATCCAAATACCAGTTTGGAGAAGATGGAAGAGATGATGTGGACGTTAAGAATTGATGTGTGAAATAGGAAAAAAGCTGTCATTTTAGTAAAATCTTTATGCAGTCACAAATGGAGAGTTGAGAAAAAATGGACCTTGGATTGTGGTGTTTTTAAGTGAGATACTCCCGTGAGAGCACATGGTGTGGATTCCAGTGTAGCTTCATCTTTGTATAGCCGATTAAGGTAATAAGTTAGACAATCCCAGATCCCTTTTAAGTGTGCTGTATATGAGGAATTTTTATCCTTGCTTATCTTTTCCTTAAATTGTATGGGTGAAACTAAATTAGAAAAGTGTATTCCTGCCGTGTTAGAAAATTTGAAAGAATGGCTGAGGAACCATGGATTTTAGTTTATTTGCACGCCCCTCCTGTGCCATCTTATGACCCAGAGAATAATTATTTTAGGGTGCCTTTTTTTTTCTACACCTGCCACTTCTTTTGTCCCATTACCTCTCCCTGGAGTTTGAATCTTTACTATGTGATTTTGCATGAGTTTTACCTGTCTAGGCTGGAAGCTTCTGACCCAGCTGCCCAATCAGTCATTATTTATTTACAGTATTAGATTTCCATTTCTATTCATTTCACTCTAAGCCGCCTTTACCCTGGTGTGAAGAATAATGGGTCTTTGCTACTAATGCTGTATACTTGGAGGTGACTAGGAATGGCATGTTCAAGGGGCTGAGACTAATGCAAGCTCCAGGGAAGCTAAGTCTTCACTGGAGTCTTCTGAATAGGTCCTGGAGTACAGATGCAAGGGTTGGCCTGTCTTCCTTGATTTTCTGGTCTCCACTGGGTAAATTCGTTTGATTGCCAAGGGAAGTCTTGGGAGCAGGGAGTTATCAGAAATCTGAGTGTTAGGCTGATTAAGAGACTTCCCTGCAAAGGAGTGGGGACAAAGAAGTAGTGGCTTTGTAGGTGTTGGAGAGTCCTCCCTGTAACCAGGTAAAGGATCGCTAGATTCCCAATTGAGAAATGGGAAAGGGGCTGGGTTTCAAAAGGGAAGTGATACAGCCTATGGGCAGGTTTGGGAATGTACCTGAGGTAGGATGAGCCCTTCTCCCTCTTTCTCTTTGAGAGTGTTTCTGGCTCCTCAGAGTCAAGCACAGCTGTGGCAACAGTTTCAGACCTGTACACCGTCCTCCTTGGTGCTCTAAAGGAGGCCCAGCATTCGTGTTCCTCTCTCAAAGCTGGCCTTACACGCATTAGAGGAAAACAAGCAGTTTAGTTTGTGAGAAACTCTTTAGACCTCAGTGTCTCTCCCCACCCTTCTTTCCAAATTAATCCTGCATCTTACAGATTAAAGATTCATTTAGACTTCATTATCTCAAACTGGGATACTCAGTTTGAGAAGAGTAAGCTGAACAGTCTACACAAATATATGAAAAGCTAGCTTTTCTCTTGAGGAAGATAATTAATTGGGTGAGAGTTGTGGGCATTTGGATAAAGGGCGAAACGGGGGGTGGAGTTGTGGACAGCTTGTACCCTCGTCCTTGAGAGAGGAAAGGATACCACCAAACTAGTGCAGTCACCTTGTTGTGCTTTTTCTTCTTCCATTTTCCTTGTGAGAAGAAGAAGATAGCAGTATGGAGGTGGAGTCACCATCTGTTCTCAAGGATGGGAAACAGACTTTAACTGAACATCAGGGATGAGCTGTATTCACCTGGCATTGATTGGTATCAGGCGCTGGATGGATTACACCAGAGACTACATTACAGTAGGAGAGTAAGGCTAATTTTGTTAGAAAGTCTAAGGTATTTTCAGAGTGACTCTGGTGGTATTTTTTTCTTGAGGATGAAAGGTTGCACACAAAGAAATGGAGGCCTACTGCTCTGAGGCTTGTTATTCCTGGTGAGACAATTAGATGTGCTGCAAGCAGATCCCAGATTTGATCAGGCAGGATAAGGCAGGAATAGCCAAAGGTGTTTCTTTGTTCAGAACATTGGTCTGTTCAAGGAGAAGGCAATCCTGTGGATAGATAAGAAGGAGCTTCTGAACCAGTGCAAAAGGCCAAAGCTTTTGAAAACAGCTAATGAAGAAGACACATGGAAGGCTGTTCAGAGCTTGAGGCAGCCCTGGAAGAAGGGAGTCCTGGATAGCGGGACCAATATCATGGGTGGAGTTTGACTAGGTGGACAAAGGCTTGTCTAAAGCAGTGTTTCAAACATTTTCAGACTACAACAGTACAAAATTCATTTTGCACTGAGACCCAGGACGTAGCAAGAATATGTGTATGTGAAACTATTCTATTTGTTTCTAGTCTGTGTTCTTAAAAACTCATAACGTATTAGTGGATCACAGTTCACTATTTGGAAACTAATTGTCCAATGGGTGGAAAAACAGGTTGCAGTGGAGCAGGCTGGGTGGGGGATTGGATACTGGAGGAGGTGTGGGGGGGGGCATAGAATTGATTGAGAACTACCTGGACCCCTGTCGGTGGGATAGAAGGGATCGTGGAGACTCACCTTATTTCTGACAGGTGCAGAATTTACACAGATGAAATGATGGGACAGATGCAGAAGAGGGGACTTTTCACCAGTTCTATGCACTTCAAAGCAAAATGATTGGTTTTAAGGGAGAGGAAATGTATAAGGAGTAAACTTGGATTTGTAAGCAGGTTTCTTGAGAGCAGTAAGATCTTTCTCTGTAGGTTTAATGAGGAGACAAATGGACCCGGACCAATTTGGCTGATGAATTTAGGTCATGTCCACTTTGATGGCTGGATGAGGAGCAGAGGGGCTCATAGTGCAGGGGGCAGTGAGGAGGCCCACACCTCTCCTTACAGCTTTGAGAAGTTTGAGCAGAGAGCAGCGGATGGAATATGTTTTGAAATCCCATTTGCTGATCAAACTCCTCATTAGTAAGCTGGCTGCTTGCCTCTCAGAGAATTTGCAAAGTATTTTTTCTTTTTCTTTTTTTTGAGACACGGTCTCACTCTGTTGCCCAGGCTGGAGTGTAGTGGCACAGTCTTGGCTCACTGCAACTTTTGCCTCCTGGCTTCAAGTGATTCTCCTGCTTCAGCCTCCCAAGTAGCTGGGATTACAGGCACCTGCACCCCCCCACCCCATCCCCCGGCTAATTTTTGTATTTTTAGTAGAGACAGTTTCACCGTGTTGGCCAGGCTGGTCTTGAACTCCTATGATCCGCCTGACTCAGCCTCCCAAAGTGTTGGGATTACAGTTGTGAACCACTGCATCCAGCCTGAAAAATATTCTTATTACATTTTATAAAAGGGTTAGACTGTCAGGACTTCCTTAGAAGTCTATTTCAAGATCTGTGATCAAATTCCAATCATCATTTATAGCCTTGGGGTCACCTAAACAGCTTCTTGGAGAAATTGATGGGGCAACCAGCAATTGTGAGTTAATTTCAGTATTTGCCCTGGAGTTAATCAAGGGCAGAGTCTATCTGCGGACTTTTGATTTCCTTTTCATAATTATCAACATCTGGCTACAACACATAACATTCCTAGCAGCAAGTAAAACACAGCCTGGAGGAAAAGTACACAGGTGGGTGGGCGAGTTGGCCCACGCCTTTTTTTTTTTTGAGACGGAGTTTCGCTCTTGTTACCCAGGCTGGAGTGCAATGGCGCGACCTCGGCTCACCGCAACCTCCACCTCCTGGGTTCAGGCAATTCTCCTGCCTCAGCCTCCTGAGTAGCTGGGATTACAGGCATGCGCCACCATGCCCAGCTAATTTTTTGTATTTTTAGTAGAGACAGGGTTTCACCATGTTGACCAGGTTGGTCTCGATCTTTTGACTTCGTGATCCACTGGCCTTGGCCTCCCAAAGTGCTGGGATTACAGGCTTGAGCCACCACGCCCGGTCTGGCCCACGCCTTTAATACCAGCACTTTGGGAGGCTGAGGCAGGCAGATCACCTGAGGTCAGGAGTTTGAGACCAGCTTGGCCCACCCACATGGTAAAACCCTGTCTCTACTGAAAAAAATACAAAAATTAGCCAGAAGTGGTGGCGTGTGCCTGTAGTCATAGCTATTTGGGAGGCTAAGGCCAGAGAATTGCTTGAATCCGGGGGGCAGAGGTTGTAGTGAGCCGAGATCGCACCATT